GGAGAATATATTAAAATTTTCAACATTTTTGAAAAAATTTTACATAGGCGACTAATAATTTCCTATTAATGACCAGTTCCATCGACGAGATACAAGATTAAGACTATCAATCCTGGGCAAATTTTCAGCGGTATAAAAAGGGCTCCAAGGGCTCCCGCAGGTAATTGAAGAACTCTGACATTATCGATAATTGATATAAATTTGTTATTATTAACAATATAAATATAAATATTTGGTTTATACATTATTAAATTCATGATTTTTTTATTACATAAATGTTCCATAAATAAATATGCATATTTGTAAAGCTATAATTTTTATATATTGCAGAAAAATTACAATTTTTTCTCTGTAGTTATCATTTCTGTTGATAATCAAACTTTAATGATAGTACTGAAATCACAATTTTAAAGAAAAATCAATATTATTGAGTTCTAAATGCATAAATACGTTCACTAAATTAATAAATCATAAAATTAGTACAATATTTTCAGTTTTTAACTTTTAATTATTTCAATATTTACAAGGACGCCAACGGATATCTTTAATAGTATCTCGTCGATGCCGGTACGTTTCTGAAGCTACATTGGACGAGCATGTATTTGAAACCCGGCCCTTCTAACAACACTGTGCTCCCCGCTTTAAAACATCTATTGTAAATTCGGACTTATGCATTTAAGACTGTGTTCCAAAATTGACTGTTAGTACTGAAATCTATAGTGCAGTAACTGTAGCATTTTCAGTATTGGCAGTATATTTGGAACATAGCCTAAAATCTGCAGCACACGATAATGCTTGTTTTCCTGCTGGGTTGCTAGCTGGATTAGAATCTTGCTACCGTATTGGCTGCGATGTTGGCACTGACAGCACCATAGCCAATAAAGTGACAAGATTTTAATCCAGCTAGCAATCTAGCAAGAAAACAAGCATCGTGTGCTGCAGGCTTAACAATCCAGCAGGAAAAGAAGCATCGTGTGCCGCAGGTTGGAATAGATGAAAAATGTTGGACCAATCACAAATAAGAAAGAAGGTGGCCAGACTCTGATTAGAGGATTTCTACTGTAACGAAGAGCCAAACTAGCCGAAACCGAGGACTGAGAGAAACGACTGGAACGAGAAAAGTGGTGAAAAGTAGGATTGTGTCAAAGTTGTCTTTAGCTATTGTGAGCTGTTTGCCTGATACGAGTTGTTGTTCGTGCATAGTGGTTAAAAATTTTGGGAAGGCGAAAACACGCATTACGTCAGAATTACAAAATGTTTCGCAGTTCGACGAATTTTGATAAATTATTAGGTAAGCTTCTTTGAAATTTGTTCAAAATGTCGGAGCTTTCTTAGCCACTCATTAATCTACTCGTAGATAAGGCAACAAGTCATTTGCAGTTAGAACCAGACTGGCCTACAATTATGCAGATTTGTGATCTTATACGTCAGAGCGATGTTCAGTAAGCATAATTTTTGTAAAAAGTTTATTTCAAGTTAATTATCAAGATTTTTACTTAGCATATATTTGTCAATTGTATTTCTTTAAAGCACATTATTTAAAAAAAAAGTCGTGTTAAATATATTATTGCTATCTGTTTCTAAATATTTTATACATTTAGACCAAAAGCTGCACTCACTGCTATAAAGAAGAAGATGGTAAACAGTAATCCGCATGTAGCACTATATGCCTTACTGGTAAGAAATTGGTCTATTTTCTGTTCCTGCATTAGAAGTCTCCTTTCTCACTTTTGACAAATATTAAACATACTTATTTTACTTTTGAGTTCAAAAAGTGTACACTAATTCAGCTATAAAAAATAAATCTAATATATCATAATTAAAAAACAAATTATATTTATTATTTGCTGTTTTATTGATGTTTATTAATGTATTTAGGTATTGGAATCTTGCGTAAAAAATTGTGGGACATTGATTCATGATGAGATAGCTACCAAACAATACATGGAACAACTAAAAGAACTAGTTAAAACTTCTCCACATGAAAATGTTAGACTAAAAACTTTAGAGCTAATACAAGCTTGGGCTCACGCATTTCGTCATAGCCCCAAATATAGGACAGTTCAAGTGATAAATTATTATTATGCGTTATAATTATCAGTATATAATTCTATTTATTTATTTCATCTTTTTGTTATTTTTCTCAGGATACGTTAAATATAATGAAAGCTGAAGGTTATCAATTTCCTGCTTTGAAAGAAAGCGACGCTATGTTTAGAGCAGATACTGCACCTGCATGGGCAGATGGTGAAGTTTGCCATCGGTGTCGTGTAACTTTCAGTATGGTTCAACGGAAGCATCACTGCAGAGCATGTGGCCAAGTCTTTTGTGGCCAGTGTTCGAGTAAAGTCTCCACTTTGCCAAAATTTGGAATTGAGAAAGAAGTACGAGTTTGTGAAGCTTGTTATGAACAAGTTAACAAGTCAGTGAAATTTCTTTTTTTATTTATCATAACTTGTATATTGTTTGGATAGTTTTTAAACATCAGTTTTATATATATATATATAGACCATCTACAACGCAAACCAAAGATACCGACCTTCCAGCAGAATATCTCAAAAGTACTTTGGCTCAACAGCAACAAGTAAGTACTTTTATTTTACTGAATTATAAATATTGCAATAACAAATATAACAATAACATTATATATAAATGTCATTACACTTAATAACTATATAACATTATGTGTAAATATAAAACACTAATTATCTTTACTTAAATATAATCTACAATCAAATTGATCATCAGTTTTTTAAATTAAATTTAGAAATTTATAAAAGCTTATAAAAGTTTAATTATTAATAAGAACATCTCTTTGAAGAAGATTATCATGTTATATACAGATTATTCCACTTAATTCGAATATCTGAAATATCTTTGTTGTTCTAAATCAAATCCTATAAGAAAAATCTAATAAAAAATTTAATTGCCCTTGAAATCTCATTCATGCCGTATATATAGGATATTTCAAAATAATCGCCAAATATTGTATGAGCAGGTAGAGCGGACTAAACTAAGTCGAAAAGTCCTCTACTATTTTGCGATTTTCGCAATAGTTAACAAGATATCAATAAGATATTATTAAAAATTGCCGAAAATTGGTCTTCAATCATTTTTTTACTCAAATACTATCAACTTTACAGAAAAACTGTAAGAGACAAAAATTGTTTATTTTCTACTCATAAAATTCTAAGAATTTTTTCAGAATTTTTTCATACCGTATTTTGTCATGTTTGTAAAAATAAGAAAATGTAGTACTAAAAAGTTGATAAAAAATTCTGAAAAAATTCTTAGAATTTTATGAGTAGAAAATAAACAATTTTTGTCTCTTACAGTTTTTCTGTAAAGTTGATAGTATTTGAGTAAAAAATTATTGAAGACCAATTTTCGACAATTTTTAGTAATTAATATCTTATTAACTATTGCGAAAATTGCAAAATGGTAGATGACTTTTTGACTCTGTTTAGTCCATTGTGCCTATCCATGAAATATTTGGCGATTATTTTGGGACACCCTGTATAATGAAAAAGTATTGTCATTACGTTATATATATTTCTCAAAATCATAAAATCATATGATTTCAAAAGAAATAAATATTTTTTTATCATTTACAATAGTAAAATGTATTTAAGATACTGTAGTTGAATGGAACACATGTGCGTGCGTTAAAACTTACACATACGTGTTTTGTATAATACGATCAATTTTAAGATTTCATTTATAATCAAATTCGTAATTAAACATGCTTCTCCGTTGTCTTGCATACGGGTACTTTTGTCCATTATTTTAAATAATTATGTATACGAAGGTTATATTATGCTATTATAAAAAATTAAATTTAAAGGAAGGAAGCTATTCTCGAAAATTTGAATTTAAATTCTGGTTTTTTGAACGTTGCATATTATGGCTGCGTTACACTTAACACTCGCAACGCTCACGAGCTTCTTTTGTTCTCGTTTAACATTTGATAAACGATAAGGATGAAATGATTCCACGAGCGTTGTGAGCATTAAATGGAACGCAGCTTATATAGTAATTCATTTTACACACACACGCATGTATAATATATATATTTATGTTTTTATTTATATTTTTATAGATTCCAGTTCGAAAAACAGAAGAAGAACTACGAGAAGAGGAAGAATTAAATTTAGCAATAGCCTTAAGTCAGAGTGAAGCTGAACAAAAAGAAAAAGAAAAGAAACGTGCTACAAGCGGTTTAAAATCCAATTCAACTTCAATATCTAGAACAACATATTCTCCACCACCATCACCTGTAAGTGTTTTGTTACGAATCTATTACATATAATTATTATAAACAATAAGAATATTATTGGACTATACATGCGAAAACAATCAATAGGGAATAAAGGCTGTAACGATCAAAGCTGATCTTTAATGCTTAAATAATTTCATGTGAATTTGTACTATACAGGATGTCCCATAACTCTTAATTAATATTTCTGAGAGTGAAAGAGGATGAAATTTTAAACTAAAAGTTTCCTTCCCAATTTTGACTTACGGTCTATATTCTTGAAAAGGACCGTATACGTATCTTATTATTTATCGAGTTATTAAGTGAAGTTGATCAATCAGATTGCGCCAAATTTCAATCTTTTAATCTCAATCTTCAATGCATAGAGTCTCGTACCAACTTAACTCGTTATGCAGTTGTTATGTATTCATAACGATTGTATAATAAATTACAGAATACAGAGACAGCTGAAATATGCAGGAGTGCAACATATCATGGAGCTCCTTGCACTTACTGTACCATACATTGCCCAATTAAATTATTATAATTTATATCAATTGATAAATATATAAATAAATATATAAATAAGTAGATATAAATAAATAAAAATAAATTACAATTAGAAACTTATCCAATTTCTGATTTGTTTCTTATTCTTTTTTATTATTTATTTGTTTAATTAATTATTTAAATTTATTTGTTCAATTTATTTAATTTCCCTAGCTAATCTAGCAGCAATGAGGAAAAACTAACTCTGTGTGGGCGTGCATGCGTGTATGTGTGTGGGCGTGCATGCGTGTGTGTGGGTGGCATGTTTGTCATGGGTATTAAAAGAAAATTATTGGCAGAAAACATTATCAAAATAAATTGTTTGCAAATAATTTATTTAAACAACTTCAAAAATTTAATGTACGTGACATGTATGATTTTTAAATTATTTAAGTATAAATCGATGGAGATATCAATTTTTATTTAAAATCAGTTTTTTTAAGAAATTATGTGAACAAATTGTTTGTAAATAATTTATTTAGTAATATTCTTGAAGCTTCCATGGGTGCTTTCTATATAAAAGTTATGCGTTTCGCGGGTTTCCTCCGTGTCCAGATCCATTCTTGAAATGCCAACGTTTTGTGAACCTTGCAGTCCATTTCATCAGGGCAAAGAGCCTGATACTGTATCAGGCTGCTCTTCGCCCTGATGAAGTGGACTGCAAGGTTCACAAAACGTTGGCATTTCAAGAATGGATCTGGACACGGAGGAAACCCACGAAACGCATAACTTTTAATTTATTTGGTAATTTCATAATATTGACATATATCAAAGAGATAAAAAATGACTATTGATGATAAAATTAATTACATAAGTTAAATTATTACACGTATCTATTAATTCCAGATTTAAAATGATTGCGCCATCGAATTGCAAGAGAAAAAATATGTAAGAATCTTACGATACATGCCAATATTAAGAAATTATCAAAATAAATGGTTTACAAACAGTTTCTTAAAGAAAATTTATGATTTTAAGTAAAAATGATAGCTCCATCGGTTTCTACAAAATAAAATACGTAAGAATCATGCATGTCAAGACAATTTTTTTCAAATTGTTTACAAACAATTTATTTTAATGTTTTTTATCAATAATCGTTAAATATCCTGTAGTTAGTTTTTCTCCATCGCTGGACTAGATTAGCTATGGAAATTAAATAACTGAATTGAACAAAGAATTAAAAATTAAATTAAATAAACAAATAAGTAAATAATAAATAAAAATAAAAAACAATCAGAAATTGGGTAAGTTTCCAACTGTAATTTATTAATATGAAAAATATAATAAAATTTTAATCGGGAAAATATGTAGAGTAAGCGCTGTGGTATGTTATGTTTCAGTGTATTCCGACTGAGCGCAATCTGATTGATCAACTGTGATCGTTAATAACTCGGTAAATAATGATCTGGGTCAAAATTAGGAAAGGAACGTTTAGTTCAAAATTTCATTCTTTCACTCCCAGAAATATTAATTAAGATTAATTATGGGACACCTTGTATCTGTATACACATACATACTTATGTACATATACACTATATTTGTAGTCATTTAAAATGTGCATCGAAATTTTTTCGGAATTTTAAAACGCAGCAGAATAGATATTACTGTAGTAATATCACAATTAAATTTGATCATAGGCTTAGTAAATTTTCACTAAAAAGATCTTGGTATACTAGAAATCTGTAAATAAATTTATTGCGGAAAATTATTAAAATGTTATCTCAGCAATAAAATTGTTATATTTATCAACAGCCTATCTTATTATGTAATAAATTGCTATTATTACTATTTAACATTTTCTGTGAAATTCTTATTTTATCTTGGATATAAAATTTTAGTCTAATGTTTCTATTAGGATCCTAGCCCATCACAGGTACAAGATGACGACGAGATTGAACCTGAACTTGCTAAATATCTAAATCGTAAGTATTGGGAACAAAGGCAAACTGCAAACGAAGATCATGGATCGATTGAACATGGGTCAAGAGTGGATGTGACTAGTCCATCTGCACCTAATATAAGCAGTCCCATGCCTCAAAAACTAGTACTAATAAAACAGGAAAATGGTGAAATCGATACTCAAATGGAAGAATTCGTAAGAGGTTTAAGATCTCAAGTTGAAATTTTCGTAAATAGGATGAAAAGCAACTCCTCGAGAGGCAGATCTATTGCTAATGATAGTTCAGTTCAAACTTTATTTATGAATATAACAGCTATGCATTCCAGGTATGTCTAAATCAAACCATAATTTTATTTCTAATATATTCAATTTTTTATTTTGATCACAGAAAACAATGATCTTTTTTTGTAGATTATTAAGATATATTCAAGAACAAGATGATAGCAGAGTCTATTATGAAGGTTTGCAAGATAAATTAACTCAGATGAAAGATGCTAGAGCTGCTTTAGACGCTCTCCGAGAAGAACATAAAGAGAAATTACGTAGAAGGGCAGAAGAAGCCGAGAGACAGCGACAGATGCTAATGGCGCAAAAACTGGCAATCATGCGAAAGAAGAAGCAAGAATATTTACAATATCAACGTCAACTAGCTTTACGAAAGATTCAAGAACAAGAAAGGGAAATGCAAATGCGTCAAGAGCAACAGAAACAACAATATATAATGGGTAATTTTCAATTTTTTGTTATTTATAATTACGCATTTTTGAATCTATTTTATCGTCATTAAGGGGGGAGCCTCATGTAAATGGCCTGTTTTTCAGGAATTTTTTTTGAAAAATGTAATGCGTAGATTAATTTGCAATTTAAGGCACAATTTATTTACGTTATAATATTGAAAGAAAATATTTTTTTAAGACTAATCGTTAAGAATAAAACGGTGCCCTTTTATTAAAATTTGCAAATTTACAAAAATGGCGAAGTTTTGAAAAAAAAAAAGGATTTTCTTTTATAAACAATTGTTAATAACAATGTTTTAAATAAAAAAAATAAAAATCGGAGCTCGTCATGCTGAGGTCAAATATCTATAGAATTTCTATACCAAATTTCATAAAGATCGAATGATTAGTTTTTGAGCTACGTTGCACGGCGTGCGAAATTTTGCGTTTCGAGAAAAACGCGTTTAAAGTTTGAGTAATAGAAAAATCGTGAAAAAATTCGTAATTCGTTCTAACTTACCGCAGTTTTTTGCTAATCTGCGATTCCAGGGCCATAGAGTAGACCCTCCTCTTCTTCA